AGCCACAGTAGAATAGAGCACCAAGTAGATTTCTAATGTTCCAACTCCAAGTCCTGGCTTTCAGACGGCATTTCTGGATCTGCCTTGGGTTGGGGGCAGGGGAATGATGGAGCTTGCTGCCATGAAGGGAAAGACACAAGCCTGCCTGTATTACGACTGAAGAGCCTTTGGGCCTTGTGGGAACATTGGCAGTAGCTAAACAGTATTTGCCAAGAGCCTTCAGCAAGACCCAGTGCTGTGCTGGCTTTGGGTCTGACCAAGCATGGTCACGGTGGTGGTAGCCACAGTGGGACTTGTGTTACCCCTTCCCCAGCTATAGGCAGCTCAGCACAAAGAGACTCCATTTGTTTGGGAAAAAGTAAGAGAAGAGAACAAGGATCTCTGCCTGTAATCCAAAGAATTCTCTCAGACCTTACCCAAGACCACCACGGCAGTGTGAGTCTGCTAGAGTCACAGTGGTACCGGGCTTGGGGTGCCCCCTCATGCAGATATAGCTGCAGGGACCAAAGACTTAGATCACTCGATTCCCTCTGAATACTTGGAAAACCTTCCCAAAAAGGACAGGTACAAGCAAGCCCAGACTGCAAAGACTAGAACAAATACCTAACTCTTCAATGCTTAGACATCAACGAACATTCACAAGCCTGAGGACCATCCAGGAAAATGTCACCTCACCAAACAAACAAAATCAAAATAAGGCACCAGTGACCAATCCTGGAGTGACAGAGATATTGTGATCTTTGAGAAAGAAAATTCAGAATAGCTGTTTTGAGAAGCTCAATGAAATTCAGGATAACACAGAAGAGGAATTCGGAATCCTATCAGATAAACTTTACAAAGAGATTGAAATAATTTTTAAAAATCAAGCAGAAATTTTGGAGCGGAAAAACTCAATTGATATACTGAAAATTGCATCACGGTCAACAGCAGAATTGATCAAGCAGAAGAAAGAATGAGTGAACTTGATGACAGACTATTTTGAAAATACAGAGAGGAGACAAAAGAAAAAAGAATTCAAAAGAATGAAGCCTGCCTGCAACATCTAGAAAATAGTCTCAAACGGGCAAATCTGAGTTATTGGCCCTAAAGAGGAAGTTAAGGGTAGAAAGTTTATTCAAAGGGATAATAACAGAACTTTCCAAACCTAGAGAAAGATATTCATAGTCAAGTACAAGAAGATGGGGTTTCACCATGTTGGCCAGGCTGGTCTCAAACTCCTGACCTTGTGATCCGCCCACGTTGGCCCCCTAAAGTGCTGAGATTACAGGCCTGAGCCACCGCGCCTGGCCGAGAAACTTATTTTTATTGCAGTTTTTTTTTAAATTTTAAATTAATACATGCTCTAGTCACTGGACATATACTCATATTTTCACCTAAAAATACATACAAAAATTGTCATAGGTACACTATTTGAAATAATGCTGAACTAGAAACAATCTGAATCTTCAACAGCAGAATGGATCATTGTGATCCATTTATATAACGGAACACTACACAACAAGGAGAATGAAGGAACTAAAACTTTGCGCAACCACATGTATGAATCTCACAAACACAATGGTGAGCAAAGTAAGCCCGGCACAAATGAGAACACATATGATTTCATTTACATAAAGTTCAGAATCAGACAAAATGAATCAGTGATGTTGCAAGTCAGGATGGTGTTTACCTGTTGGAATGGTGGAGATAATAGTGACTAGGAGGGAGGCACAAGAGCAGCTCTGGGGTGGTAATATTATTCTTTTCCTTGATCATACTTACGAAGGCTATGGAGGTGTTGATCTTGTGAAAAGTCATTGAGCTGTAAACGTACCTACTTTTCTGCATGCATGTTATACTTAAAAAGTTTACCAAATTACCTATACATGCTTATGGTAGGAAATTTAGAAAATAGAAATTATATAGTGTTAAAAAACAGTTTTCAAAATAAGGAAATATACAACTACCATATAAATATAAAATGAGCACATAGAAGATTTTAATTAACTCATTAATTAATGAGAAAACCAGTAAGGTGTTATAGCTAGTTCAAATGGATTTGATTTACAGAAATCTATATTACCTGACAGACAAAATTTATTTACATTGACATGAACAGGGATCATTTGCATAGTATAACGGGAAACATATACATTAATGTCAATTTTCTTCATGTTAACCCCTTTCTCTAAAAAGTGGTAAAATAGTCTAATGAAAGACTAGTCAAAGAGAATGAAAGCAGAAATGAATGGATGCACTAATCAAGACACCCATTAAATTTCAAAGGCTTTAAATTTTTTTCTTACAATAGCATAAAATCAAAACAACCTGTAATCCTTCTATTCAGGGATAACCTATATATACACAATTTTTGGACATATTTTTAAATATTATGTAAGAATTGTCTTATATCTAGGGCAAAATTTGCTTAATGAAATTTTTAGAAAACAACTTTTTATATTGAGTACAGAGATTTTTTTCCCTTTGTTCCAAAAAGTCTCTGTTCACATTTCTGGTTATTTCCTTAACTTTATTTATTTATTTATTTTGAGATGGACTTTCACTCTGTCACGAGACTGGAGTGCAGTGGCACCATCTCAGCCCACTGCAACCTTCGCCTCCTGGGTTCAAATTATTCTTCTGCCTCTCAGCCTCCCCAGTAGCTGGGACTACAGGCACGTGCCACCACGCCCACCTAATTTTTGTATTTTTAGTAGAGATGGGGTTTCACCATGTTAGCCAGGATTGTCTCGATCTTTTGACTTCATGATCTACCTGCCTCAGCCTCCCAAAGTGTTGGGATTACAGATGTGAGCCACCGTGCCCAGGCAACATATTTTCTTAGAAGGAAAAGTATTGGATCAAACGATATAACCATTTCTAAGACTCTTGATACATACTGCCAAGTTTCTATTGCTGTTGTTGTTGTTGTTGAGACAGAGTCTGGCAGTGGTGCAATCTCAGCTCACTGTAACCTCTGCCTCCAGGTTTCAGGTGATTCTCCTGCCTCAGCCTCCTGGGACTACAGGCATGGACCACCGCGCCCAGCTAATTTTTTTATTTTAGTAGAGATGGGGTTTTACTATGTTGGCCATGGTCCCGAACTCCTAACCTCAAGTGACCCACCTGCCTCGGCCTCCCAGAGTGCTGAGATTACAAGCATGAGCCATTGTGCTCAGCCTCATATCACCTTGTACTATAGGAATATTTTGCACCACATAGTTAGGTTGGAGGGAGGAAGCAAAAATCTTTCTAAGCTACTTTCATACTCCAGGAATTACTCCTGTCCATAAGACTTCCAGGAGTAGAATATGTTCATAGTCTTGCAACTACCCACCATCTGCCTTTTTTTCTTCCTTTGCTTTTGGACTTTGAGCAAAAACCCAGTGCTTGCCTAAGGAAAAAGGTTGGGTTGGCACAGCAAACCACAAAAATCTCAAGTTCGAACCAAATTTAAGGCTACAAGATCCCTGCACTGATAGCTTCATCTGTATTAGGTTATAAATCCCTTGAGGAATTTTCTAGGACTTAATTCATGCCCTGCTTCCTGTGTTTACACATATTTTCTGACCTGTTTTGCCAGTCTTAATTTAAAATATTCTATAAGCCACATATATCTTACCATGAGACCCAACTTAATTCAATTATTCTATCAATTGCCTACTAAGTGCCAGGACCTGTGCTGTACTAAGCCTAGGGTAAGTGGTGAGCAAAACGGACTTTTTCCTGCTATAGGAGCAGAAAGGTATAGTACTTTTCTTCACCCATCATATAGGTCACAGTTGACACTCCTATAACAAAAGACAGATTAACAAGAGAAAGGCATAGCAAATTTACTTAACCAAAGTTTTACATGACATAGGAGCCTTTAGAAATGAATACCCTGGCCAAAAAAAAAAAAAAAGAAATGAATATCTAAAGATGCAAGGAAAACTGTGTTTTCATGCTGAGGCTGAGGCTTAATGAAGAATGGACAGCCATGTAGAAATGTGATTGGACAAGAGAGTATGATCTTATTGTAATAGGCTGGGGAGGAAACCCAGCAAGACTTGCCTTTCTGCTTAGATTCTTCTGGGTCTCTTTATGTAGCATTCCTTCCTCCTGGGTATGGGTAGGACCCCTCTGGAATGAGAGTCTTCAAGGTAAAAGGGAGAGAGTGACCTTTCTAGGTTTTATGGCTTGCTTTGCAGAAGAGTGGTCCTAGTTTCTAGGGCCTGTGGTGAGGAAGAGGAATTCTGCTTTCTGTCACTTGCTTTAGAGGAGAAAAGAGGGCAAGAGACAGGAGAGCAGAAGAAGGTCAGAGAAAACTTGCTTCTGAGGCCCTTCCAGTGTCCTTCAGTTTAAAGTACTCAGCCAAGTACTGTAATCCCAGCACTTTGGGAGGCTGAGGCGGGCAGATCACTTGAGGTCAGGAGTTCTAGATCAGCTGAACAACGTGGTGAAGCCCCATCTACTAAAACGCAAAAATTAGCCACGTGTGGTGGCAGGTGCCTGTAATCAATCTCAGGTACTTGGGAGGCTGAGGCAGGAGAATCACTTGAATTCAGGAGGCAGAGGTTGCCGTGAGCCAAGATCAAGCCACTGCACTCCAGCCTGGGCGACAGAGCAAGACTCCCTCTTGATAAATATATACATACATACATACATACATACATACATACATACATACAGTACTCAGCCGAGTGAGGTGCCCTACTTTGGGGTAACATGTCCTAAGTCCTGACACTGCGCTGAGTATTTAGAAAGTGTGATTACCATATACTATGTATTTTATATAGAAGGAATATTACATATTTTAATGTCAGGCTATTTATTATTTTGTTTTATGTCTTTATTTTGTAAAGGGAAAGTCTTATTCTGTTGCCCAGATTGGAGTGCTGTGTCTATTCATAGGCCCGATCATAGTGCACTGTAGCCTCAAACTCCTGGCCTCAAGGGACCCTCCCAGCCTCATCCTTCTGTTTGTTTTGTTTTGTTTAGGCTATTTATTGTTTTGTTATAGTGGTAGGTAGGTCTCTTACCAACTGGATAAAATACTCCTTGAAGTCAGGGGCCATGCCTTTACTTCTCTGGTATCCTTCAAAGTGCTGAGCATTTAATAGGCACCCAGTGGAGAGCACCCCAGTTGAAAATATTAGTGCCTTACATCTGCATGAACCAACTTTGCCTTCCAGCTCCTCAAAGAATCCCTGTGGGAATAAGTAACATGATTGGAAAACATGAAATAACTTATTATGTAAGTGATCATTTTTATACTTCATATCATAACCAATAGGTGGGACCATCAATTTTTAAATTATATTTTATATTGTTTATAGCCCAAAATTCTAAGTATTTATGGTGTTTGTTCAATAGGTGTTTATTGGATGCCATGTATGTAGAAACTGCTCAGCTCGCCACTACTAACAGAGTAAAAATAAAAGTATTACAGACATGCTTTATCATACTTTCCTTTGTAATAGTACCCTAAAAAACATGTATTTTCTCTTTTAGATGTCATCCTCGTTTGAAAAAACACCACCTAAATCTTTGATAACAACACAAAAACAATGGTTTTACAATTTTGTCCTTTTGTGTGTGTGTGTTTGTGTTTATTCCAGCCCAGCTTAACATCTTATTGTAAAACAGGAAGAGGGATGAAAAAATAAATGAAAAGTAAATTTAAAAATCTGGGTTTAGTGGGGGAAGCAGAATTTAATCTGAGTTAAATTTCTAGTTAACACAATTTACCATTCCTCTCTTTCTTCCCTTTTGGAAGATAACAAAATTTGATCCAGGCACAGCAGAATTATTTCAACAGCTTCCAAGGCCGCACAATCCCATCTGGAGATAATAAAAGGTCCCATTCCTTTGGGTTTATTTCAAGAGGTTCATTCTCTGGAATGACCTGAGGTTGCAAACTGTGGAACAGTTGCCAGCTGAAGAGGGCTGCAGCTTGAGAGCTACTCAGGAAGTCTCTATGGACCTGGGAGAACTCCTCTGAGATTTCCTTAGTGTAGAAAGAGGCCCCTGTGCCCTTCCTTCTCTACAGGATGAGGGCATAAAAAGAGACAAAAGAGAAAAAGAGGGGAGAGGGAGCAGTGAGGAAATGGAACTGCAATATTTAGATCAAATACCATATAATAGTCACTAATTTATCCACCTACTGCTGAGAGAAAAGGAAACTCTGCCCAAGTATGTGCCTTTTTTTACTGAATGTTTTTAAAGTGCGATGGATGGCATCAGGGAGCTGGGAAGATGCAGAGAGGGAACATACAAGGGTTTTTGTCATCTGGGAGTTTCCAATCTAGTAAACCATAAGAGCGTCTTGTATAGTGGTGTTTAGACGTGTGGGCTCTGGAGGCAGGCTGCTTTATTCATTTTAACCCCAGCTCCACCACTTATGCACACTTGTGCTAATTTCAGGCAAAGGGAAATATGGATTCACCTTTACACGCCTCTGCAAAAAAGAAAAATTCCCTATCCTCCTCTGATGTTTCTAGAAATTCAAACTAAATTTTAAATGAAGTAAAGCAATGAGGCAAAGTTTTTATTTCAAACCATGAGCCATTCTCTCCCTACTAGTTGAGAATCTCTGGGATACTTACTTCAATGTGATGAAAGATTGTCTCAGGCTCAGACAAGGGCAAGTTATGGTTGAAGACAATGACTTTGCAACATAATCAGTTCATCTAATTTTGCTATTTCCTTTACAACCTAGGCCCAGGAACAGAGAAATTAGATGGTGTGTTCCACTCAGAGTTGGGATTTGCTAATAGGGCAGGGATAATGAAACCAGCATGCTGGTCAAAGCCTTTGCTAAATATCTCCCCATGGAAGGGCTATCCAGCCTTTTGCACCATTTCCTAGGCTTCCATAAAAATGTGCCACACACCAGGGGGCTTCAAACAACAGAAATGTATACTCTCACAGTTCTAGAAGCTAGGAGTCCAAGACCACGGTGTTGGCAGGATTGATTTCTTCTGAGATCTCCAAGGGAGAATTTGTTCCATGCCTCTTTGCCAGCTTCTCATGGTGGCTGATAATCCCTGGTATTCCTTGTCCTGTAGATGCATCACTCACATCTCCGGCTGTATCTTCACATGACGTTCTCACTGTATCTCTACATCTTCACATGGCCTTCTTCACATGGACATTATCATGTTGGATTAAGGGCCCATTGTACTCTAGTATGACCTCATCTTAATTAATGACATCTGCAATGACACTATTTCCCCCAATAAGCTCACAGTCTGAGAGGTACTGAGGGCTAGGACTTCAACATATCTCACTAAGGGGACAAAACACCTACAACAGGCCTGATGGCAGGGAAGAGCGCTGAGTGTTGTAGGTGGAAAAGGGGGAACTGAGGGCTAGTCAGAGTGGCAGGGAGTGCAAGGTGGAATTCTCAACACCCAGGAATGGTGGAGGTGGCTTTGGTTACAAATTGGTCTGAGTTTGGGATAACTATACTGCAGATTTAATTGTGCCTCTGGTTTTAGAACTTTTTATTTTTTGAGATAAGGTCTCACTTTGCTGTCCAGGATAGAGTGCAGTGGCGTGATCATAGCTCACTGTAGTGCTAACATCCTGGGCTCAGCCTTCTGATTGGCTGGGACTACAGGCACCCTGCACTATGCCCAACTTTTAATTTTTATTTTTGTAAAGATGGGGTCTCACTAGGTTTTCCAGGCTGGTGTCAAACTCCTGGCCTCAAGCAATTCTTCAGCCTTGACCTCCCAAAGTGCTGGGATTAGGCATGAGCTACTGCATTCAGCCTAGAATGCCATTTTTTAACTATCAGGACTTGACTTGGATATGTGTTAAGTCCTTTACTAAAACTCCAGTGTAGTTGAATTCAATCCTTTGCAGAGTCTTGGTGTTGGGGTCCGGCACGTCTGCCGGGGGGCTACCAACCTGCGGGAGTCCCTGAGACCACCAACATAGATGTCTTGTTCAACCTGAGGGAGAGAGTGCATGGAAGTGAAAGAAGAAAGTAAAGCAGAGTCTGGAGGTCTGAATGACTTGTGGTCAAGCAGCAACTTTATTTTTGTGGGTTATAGCTTTTATACCTTTTTTCTTGTTACATTTACTTTAGCTCAGCAGAAAAGGGGGCAAACAGAAAAGGGAACAGAAATCACATAAAAATAGTTATCAGGGGCTTGTGATAATAGCTTACAAAGCAGTTTTAAGGGGGCTTGTGATAATAGCTTACAAAGCAGTTTAAGAGTTAATATATGTTTTTCAAAGATACACAGGGCAAGCAAACAATGGTGCCCTTAAGGTGGCTTGTTAACTATGTTTTCCATCAGGAGGTAGAGAAAAGGCTCAGCTCCTGAGAAAATATGGGCAGGGGTCTCTGCCCCTCTCAGGCACCTCAATTGCAGCAAGCCTATTGCTTACACAGAGACTAAAGGGGATATGAAGCAGTCAGCACAATGTCCTCATAAACCACAGGCCCTTACTCTGCATTCTGTTTTTGCCTCAGTGGCTTAGCCATTTTTACCTCGACTCGACAGCCCTCGAGACTGGGGGGAGAGTAGATAGGTCCAGCAGCCAAGATGGGGCGAGTCACACTAACTGTCTCAAGCCCTTGGCGTAAACACTGCAGCTTGGGGTGCTAATCTGGATTGAAGTGAGAAACTCGGGGACTTGTCCTAAAGCTGTGCTTTGTGGCAAGCTCATCATGTTTACATTGGTTTGTTATTACTTAGGGAAACCTGGGATTAGAGGAGCTGATGAAGATTAGGGAAGCCAGACCCCCAGTCAACCCTCGGACTTGTGTTGGTCTTTATCTTATCCTTTTATCTTGCTTACCTTTCAAGATCTGTTGTAACCATATTAACTCAAATCTGTTAGTTGGAAATTGAACCAAGACTACACAGTCTCCATGCTCTCAGACTCACTTACTGGCTTATGCTCATCAACAGAGAGAGAGGGAGCAGTGTGCAGTGTATGAGTTAGCCTTTGTAGTAGAGTAGTTCAAGCATTTCAGAGCAGGCTATAGCGGCAGAAGACTTGCATAGTGCAGCAACACAGGTTGTACAACTTACACAAACAAAAAGATGCACATTTAATTAAGTATGGTGAATGGTCACTTCTGGGGAGGGGGAGGAGAATAAGAGGAGAAACAAATAAAATATATGGATGGATAGATGACAGGTGATTGATAGATAATCAATAGATAGAGATAAATAGAACAAGAATGAGGCCATGAAGAGTATTATTAATTCAACCTTCTGCATCTAAAGTCTAGAAAGAAAAAGAATAGCCTGAATGTCTGGATTAAAACTGCGAATCCTCTACCCACTAGGTTTTTGTAAGTTAGCTAATCTCTCCATCCCTCAGCTCATTTAAAACAGAGGTAATATTAGTACCTACCTCATGGGATTGTTGTGAGAATGAAGTGAGTCGGAATGTGTAAAGTGCTTAGAAGGACTCCTGACACTCAACCAGTAAGTGTCAGTAATAAGCGCTCAACCATAGGGTTATGAGAATTAAGTAAAATAATCCATATAAAATGCTTAGTCAGTTAACAGTACTTGGCCCCTTGTGTTCAATAGATGCTAGCTAGTTAGCTGGCTGTTGTCATAGTCAACATCATTGTCATTATCATCATTTCTTTAAATGGTCAACTCCATTCCCTTAGTCACTTACAGAGAGATAGCTGGACACAGTGTTGCACAGTGGAAAGAGAATGCCTTCTCATACTAATGCTACCTCCGTCTTTTCCTTTTGTGTGATCTTAGGTAAGGCACTTCTTTCAGCATTGTTTTCTGCAGGTAAGCCTCCTATACCCATTGTCAGCATTAAACCTCACTCTGGGCACATCATTCCTTTGGAGGCTCTAGTGTTGAAACCTCACACTTAACTCTGTGTTAGCTATTGTGACAGGCAAGCAAAGACAAGGGCCTAATCCTTGGGGGAGTCACATTGGTCCTAGTGAAATGGCCAGACCCCTTAGGCATACCATGCCCTGTACCTATGCAAGCCTCATCAGTGCAGCCTAAATGTGTAGCCCCAATTTGGAGTCATTTGGAACCACTAGTGTCACATGGAAGCAGGAACCCAAACCAAGATGGGTCAATCTGTGTTATGCCCCATTGTCTCAGGAATTCTACTTGTCTTGTTTTGATTTTTGGTTTTCTGTTTTGTGTCAGAGTTACCCGGAAATTGTTTTTCGTCAAGAGTTACACTGTTTCACATGTATTCTCTCACTTAAACCTTGTAATAACCCAGTGAGGAAACAAGTACTATTCTCCCCCATTTTATGAATGAGGAAACTGAGGTACAGCATTTTAGAGTAACTTACTCCAGGTTACACAACTAGTAAGGGGCTAAGCCAGTAGCCAAACCCCAGCAGTCTGGCACCAGAACCCTTGCTGTTATGTAATACCACCTCTTGGAAATTCCCAGGGAGTTTGGCAGTTTGGGCCAAAATGAGAATTGAACATAATCTGTGATCAAACAGCTTCACTTTAATGAATTTATGTAACAGATCTGTTTGACTTGCTGTTTTAATTGCTTATAATGGCAAAAGAAAGAAAGGTAAACAACCATCTATAAGAGACTAGCTAAATAATTTATGCTTTATTGTTGCAATAGGGTGACACAGAGTCATGAAAGAGAATAATGCAGGCTGGGTGCATGGTGCACAGGGGTTCACACCTGTAATCCCAGCACTTTGAGAGGCTGAGGCAGGTGGATCACCTGAGGTCAGGAGTTTGAGACCAGCCTAGCCAACATGGTGAAACCTCATCTCTAATACAACTGCAAAAAATTAGTTGGGCGTGGTTGTTGTACATATAGTACCAACTACTTAGGAGGCTGAGGCAGGAGAATTGCTTGAACCAGGAAGGTGGAGGTTGTAGTGAACTGAATTCGTGTCACTGCACACCACCCTGGGTGACACAGGAAGACTCTGTCAGAATGAAAGAAAGAGAGAAAGAGAGAGAGAGAGAAAGAAGGAAAGAAGGAAGGAAGGAGGGAGGGAGGGAAGGAAGAAAGGAGAGAAGGAAAGGGAAAAGAATAATGCAGATTTATATGCATTCATATGAAACTGTCCTCAGGATATATTCTGAACTGCAAGAAACACTGCAAAACTGTGTATTTTTAATTTTTATTTTCTTAACCTGGCTCACTACTGACAGATTTTTTTAAAGATTGCAAAATAGTGTATATAGCATGCTATCATTAACACTTTTTAAAAAGAGGAGACAGACAGACACACACACAAAACTTGCAGTTGTCATCCACAACAAATATTCCTGGAAACTGGAACTAGTGATTGTCTCTGATAAGCAGAACTGGCAGGATTGGAGATAACCTGGGGAAACAAAGTACTTCTCACTCTCCCATACAATCACATATGTTAAATTGTAAATGTTTATCTGCTTTTCAAGTTACTTTATTTTTATTTACTTTTCAAAATAAATTTTATGCTGAATATTTGATGTTTACAACATGATAATATAGTAGACATAGATATAGTAAGATGTTACTACAGTGAAGCAAATTAACATCTCTCATTTCACATAATTACTTTTATGTGTATGTGACAAGAGCAGCTAAAATGTAGTTATTTAACAAAAATCTCCAACACAATAAATTTTAAAAGTGGTCCTCATGTTCTGCATTAGATCCTTAGACGTGTTCATCTGACATACTTGCTATTTTGTGTCCTTGACTTACATCTCTCCATCTCCCTACCCCTCAGAAATTATTTTAAAAGAGAGAAAGCAGGCTGGGTGCAGTGGCTCACACCTGTGATTCTAACCCTTTGGGAGACCGAAGTGGGTGGATCACTTGAGGCCAGGAGTTTGAGACCAGCCTGGCCAATATGGCAAAACCCCATCTCTACTAAAAATACAAAAACTGGCCGGGATGGTGGCGCATGCCTGTAATCCCAGCTATTCAGAGGCTGAGGCACAAGAGAGAATCACTTGAACCTGTGAGGCAGAGGTTCCAGTGAGCCAAGATTGCTCAACTTGCAGTCCGGTCTGGGCATCAGAGTGAGACGCTGTCTTTTACAAAAAAAGGAGGAAAAAAAAGGAAAAAAGCCCAGCGCGGTGGCTCACGTCTATAATCCCAGCACTTTGGGAGGCCGAGATGGGTGGATCACAAGGTCAAGAGATCGAGACCATCCTGATCAACATGGTGAAACCCCGTCTCTACTAAAAATACAAAAATTAGCTGGGCATGGTGGCGCGTGCCTGTAGTCTCAGCTACTCAGGAGGCTGAGGCAGGAGAATTGGTTGAACCCAGGAGACGGAGGTTGCGGTGAGCCGAGATCGCGCCATTGCACTTCAGCAACTGGGTAAAAAGAGCGAAACTCTGTCTCAAAAAAAAAAGGAAAAAAAAACAGAGAGACGGAGAGAGAGGAGAGAGGAAGCAAGAAAAAACTCATCAGTGGTATGGAGGTTTCAGACCCTCCTCAAAGGTTCCAGTTCACTTTGGGTTCTAGGGAAACCTGATTCAGTTTGAGTTCCTGAAGGATGACCACGACCTGTTTCGGTGCTTTCGAAAGTGGCCACTTCTGTGCCTCATTTCACTTAATCCTCACAGCTATGTACAAAGTATTGTTATTACATCTACATTTTACAGATTAGTGCAACCAAAACGGATCATCCAGTGGTAATCAAAGGCTGAAATAGGCCTCCCCTCCTCTGTCCCATCCTCATTCCATTCAGTTTTTAAGGAAGTCAAGGGTTTCCTAGACCAGTGCTTCTCAAAATAAGGTACCCAGGCCAGCAGCATCATTATCTGATAGGAACTTGTTAGAAATGCAGATTCTCAGACCCTATTCCAGACCTGCTGAATCACAAACTCTGGGGACTGAGACCAGCCATCTGTGGTCTTTTTTGTTTGGTTTCGGTTTTGTTTTTTGAAACAGGGTCTTTCTGTGTTGCCCAAACTGGAGTGCAGTGGCACCATCATTGCTCACTGCAGCCTTGAACTCCAAGCCTCAAGTGATCCTACTACCTTGGCTTCCCTAGTAGCCAGGATGGCAGGCATGTGCCACCACACCTGGCTGATTTTTTTTTATTTTTTGTAGAGATAGGGTCTCACTATGTTGTCCAGGCTGGTCTCCAACTCCTGTCTTCAAGCAATCCTCTTGCCTTAGCCTCCCGAAGTGCTGGGATTACATATGTGAGTTACATGCCTGGCCCATCTGTGTTTTAATGAGCCCTTCAAGCAATTCTGATACATGTTAAAACTTGAGAACCACAGTCCTAGGCTAATGGCTTCACCTGGCAAACATTTAAAAAACACTGATGCCTGAGTCTCACCCCAACCCAAGATTCTGATTTAATTGGTTTGGATGTATCCTGGTCATTAGTTGTTCGTTTGTTTGTTTGTTTTGAGACAGAGTCTTGCTCTGCCGCCAGGCTGAAGTGCAGTAGTGCAATCTTAGATTACTGCAACCTCCACCTCCTGGGTTCAAGCCATTCTCCTGCCTCAGCCTCCTGAATAGCTGGGACTACAGGCGCGCGCCACCACAACCAGCTAATTTTTGTATTCTTAGTAGAGACGGGGTTTCACCATGTTGGTCAGGATCGTCTTGATCTCTTGGCCTCATGATCCACCCACCTCGGCCTCCCAAAGTGCTGGGATTACAGGCATGAGCCATGGCGCCTAGCCAAGATCACAGGTTTTGTAAAGCTCCCCAGATAAATGGAGACCACTGCAACCTATACCTTCTGAAGCAGCCACTTTCATCGAGAATGGCTAATGGCATACTTACGGCATAAAGTCAAGCAGCAGGGACTACATGTATAAGTGAGGACATCACAGCTTTCCAGTTTTAAGTCTTTTCCCCTTCCCAAACCCTACATCTAGACCAAGAGGCATGGGTGAAAAATGTTCCTTGGGTAAGCAGGCATGAGCTCACTAGTTTGTAATGTTTCTTACCTTAAGCCAATAAATTCAGTCTTTAGTGAGTATTGAGAAGATGCAGGACAGAAATTCTCAAGTTGCCTACAAAATAATTTAGTAGAGGAAATGAGATCTACAAATGGCATGGTAAATGCTTAATATTATCAGCTCACTCTTTATTCCTGGGTTTATATATTTTGTAGTGAAGGTCATATCATATCACATAGCACATCTCTACTATAACAGAGTTTCTGTTAGCATTTGTCTAATAGATTAATCTGCTGATTAATCAATAAACAAATGGATATCACTGATGAACAGGCTAATTCTGTCTTTGGTGTCCAGTGCCCAACTTACTATCAATGCTGCTCTTGGCATGAAAGTCTATTGACAATAAATGTGCTAGGATAAGGTGCTAGAGTTGAATGTCACCAGAAAGAGACTATAAACCCAGATGAAGCCTGGGTGCAGTGGCTCATACATGTAATCCCAGCACTTTGAGAGGTGGAGGTGGGGGAAATCACTTGAGGTCAGGAGTTCAAGACCAGCCTGACCAACATGGTGAAATCTCATCTCTACTAAAATACAAAAATTAACCTGGCATGGTGGTACACACCTGTAATCCCAGCTACTCAGGAGGCTGAGGCTGGAGAATCACTTGAATCCAATAGGCGGAGGTTGCAGTGAGCCAAGATCACGCCACTGTACTCCAGTCTGGGCGACAGAGCAAGACTCCATCTCAAAACAAAAACAAAAACAAAACCAGATGGAGGCAGAAAAGGGAAAGCAGGTATAGAGGTCATTAAAGCTGGTGACCAATTATTTCCAAGTCTCCTCCCTGGGACATAGAAGGGTCTCCTTATGTTGCCCAGGCTGGTCTAGAACTCCTGGGCTCAAGCAATCCTCCTACCTCAGCCTCCCAAAGTGTTGGAATTATAGGCATGAGTCACCGCACTAGGCCAGATCTCCCATTGTATTCATGACCCCTCATTTGCTCTGTATAACCAATGGCCAGGTTATAGGCCCAGTTTGCAGGCCCACTGGGCAGGATTCTCTGCCGTGGATCACAGCCAGCTACTGGTCCAAAGGAGGGTAATCGTTTTTGAATGGAGGAATAAGGTACCCAGCCCTCCCTAGCGATCCTTCCTACTGGTTTAAAGGAATTAGAATAAAGCCTTATCCAGAGAGGGGTGGTGACCAGGCAGGCAGCACAAGCAATTTGAAGGCCAAGAGCTCAAAGATAACTAGCCTGTTTTGCCAGCCTTGGACAGAGAGTGCAGTTTTTGAGGAAAGCACCACTGATCCTGCTATCTGCACTTGGGCAGCCTCCAGGGCTGCAGTGAGGCTTCAGTCACTGAGTATGTTCCGATGACTTTAGCAGAAATCAGGCAGAAAACATGTGCATATTGAAACTGTTTAGGGAATAGACATAGGCATAATCAAATATACAAAACCTACTACTTTGAGATGTTTTGTAACAGCTGTGTTCCCTACAGAACAGGTTTCTTTTATTGCCTGCATCCAAGAGCATCTCCAGGGTCCTTCCTGTTAGAATGCTGAATGTCCATGGAGAGTTTGAGATGAGGAAGAAGAGTGCTATCTTCCAGCTAAGACTGGTGCAGCAGATCATGCAATGTAAAACCTCAGCAGCTGTGAAGTAGAGCAGAGGGCCTGGGTGTCTGTCAACTCCAGGTTGGAGATTTCCCCCAGCTTTCTAGGTAACTGTGCTTCCACTGAGCAAGTCAGATACAGACTTGAGTATCATCACAACTTGTGCCTGTGACATCTTTGCCCAAGAACAGCACACATTAAACTTTATATTCTTCATAATATGGAAGGAAAGGTATTGACTGAGCCCTCCTTCATGCCTCGAGACATCTCATATATATTTATATGGATATATACATGAATGTATGTATTCTGTCATAATAACACATTTTATTATTATCTTTTTATTATAACACAGTATTAGGCTAGGCTGCATAGGCTGCATTGAATCCCCAAATAAAAGTTTATATTACACATCATAATCTAATGCAGGGACTCTCCTGGGCAACATCTCTAAGTGGTGACTTGGAGATTCAGACTCCTTTCATCTTAAAATGCCATCATCTTCAGCATTTGGCCTCAACAGTTGTCAGAGAGGGAGAAGAGACTATGTATAAGACCACACCACAGGATCTGTGGTAGGTCTCCAAGCACTTCTGTCACTTCTGCCAAGAACCCAATCACAAGGCCCCATCCTAACTGCAAGGGAAGCTGGAAAAGGTCTCCTTGTATGCCAGGAAGAGAAAATGAAATTGACAGGTATCTAGCCAGTCTTTGCTACAAGTTTCAACATGTTGGAATTATTAACTAGTATTTTTCTTCTGATTATGTGTAGCATTTGGTATTATGTAGACTGCCTTGTTCCCTCCCACTGTATTTTGTGACATCCACATGCAGCATCCCATTCCTCAGAACAGGACTAGAAGTGGTAAGGACAGGTTTTATCATCCACTTCATGGATGGAAACTCTGACCCAGAGCAATTACATGGCTTGTCCAAAGTTATGCACTACTGTTAACTTAAAAACACACACAATTTATAAATTTAGACAAAGAAAGGGTCTAGGTTCTTTCTTATAAAGGGTTATAGCCTTTAACGTGGCTATCCCACAGACTGGGAAGCACAACCTCCAGCAGAAGCCCAGAGACAAGTGCTTTGAAGGGAGAGGGGTTGGGATAGGAGCTTTAAGCTGAACAGGCTGACTAAACATACACATTCAGCAGGTTACAGGAGGAAGTATGAATATTCATGAAGGTGGTCCTGACACATGTATATTGAACAAACATACATGTAACACATGACCCATGTTTACTTTGGGAGGGAGACTTAGCATTTCAATGTATTACAGTTAGGCTCTATACATCTAAAGGTCTTTTCAGGACACAAAAGCTCACAAGTACACAACCTCTATAAATTAGTCAGAACCAGTTCATGGTCAGTGGTCTTATCAGGAAAAAGTTACTGAAATCAGTCTCTCATCCAATGAAAGCTGTAGTTATGGCTGGTGGAACAGGGTTCAGTTGGGCAGAGTCTATGAGCTGGATGAGGTGTAATTGTTTAAATATTGATTATCTCGAAGCCAGTGCTTGTTTAGCTGCTGGAGAAAAAGAAAACCCTTATGGCAGTTAGAGCATAATTTATTCCTTAGGTGTAGGAGTACATGACTTCCCCTCATCTGGAATGGCCTTAGGTCTTGATTGTAATTTGGTATCTTATTGCCACAAAGAATATGTTCTGTGAGTCCTGTCATCTCTGTTGGAACATTAATGGTGCTCAGTTGTTGTGTCTAAACCATAAAAGACTGGGGGAATATAATTAGGCATGTCTGACCTCCCATTATAGCCAGGAACTAAGTCTTGAAATTTTTTTCTGGGGTCCCCTTGGCCACAATGGGGTCCATTTAGTCAGTGGGGGTCTTGGGATTTATTTTTAGTTTACACGACTGAGTGACAGAGCTTTTCTTCTTACATTCTGAGGTTAGTGGTCTCTCTGCCATGCCACATTTTCTTCCCTGGAAGCTCAAACTGGATGCCCAGCTCTCAATGTACAAACTCAAATATGCAAGAAATATATATTTATTCTTTTATTAATCTACCTAATTTATATTTTAAGCCTCCACTCTATGTCGGAAGGTGTCAGCAATGAATTCCATCATTTCGGTATTTCTCTACCTTTATTATTGATTGATTGATTGATTGATTGATTGATTTTGAGAAAGAATCTCTGTCTCCCAGGCTGGAATGCAGTGGCATAATCTCGGCTCAGTGCAACCTCTGCCTCCTGGGTTCAAGTGATTTTCCTGTCTCAGCCTCCAGAGTAGCTGGGATTACAGGTGCATACCGCCACCACACCTGGCTGATCTTTGTATTTCTAGTAGAGATGGGGTTTCACCATATTGATCAGACTAGTCTCGAACTCCTGACCTTGTGATCCACCCACCTCGACCTCCTGAAGTGCTGGGATTACAGGCATGAGCCACGGTGCCCGGCCTTCTCTATCTTCAAAGATATGTTTACATCTGGGGTGGGATGAAGGTTCCATGGAGGGGAGGGTGGTTAGGTTGTGCCAGGGTATTGGGAAATCCATTTGTTCCTCATATCAGCTGTTTGAGGAGGCACCAACCCAGATGTCCACAGTTGCTTCTGGCCTTCCTTTACCCATACTGATGCACCTGTGCCTCCTTCCTGTTTACATGGCCCATTTGTGCCCAGCATCTCCCTGCTACTTGGAGCCACTCCAGGGTCTGGGAAGTTTTGTAGGCTTACAATGTGCAGCCATTCATCTCCCCAGCTTGCTGCCTTCCTGAGACACAGAGTAGAGAAGTAGGGAAAGACCTACCCTATCCATGCCTTTGCCCTCTCACTTTCATCCATCTTTCTTCCTCCCCGGTAGAGGGATGTGTTTCTAGTCTTCTAGGAAAGCCTCACTCACTTCAAACCATTTTCTTACAAATACTTTGGCTTTATTGCAAATCATCTCTAGTCCTCTGAGATTTTTTAATACACAAAACACAACACACAGAAGTTGTATTGTTGTTTTGCTATTTATCCTGTCACAGTATTTCCCTACCTTGAGGTAATGGGACAAGGGCCTGCTCTCCAGGGCATGGAGGCAGGGAGGAAGGGGTAGGGGAATATTAAGAAAACAAACAAACATTTCTTGATCACTTGTGTATTACATTTAACTTTATCAGGTCCTTGTGAGGTGAGTATGTGTGTGTCATTATTCTGAAACTAACAGTGAGGAGAAGAAGCACTGATGGAAGTTCTTATAATATATTTGGGAACTCAGTGGGAACTCCTACCTGAATGGTCTTTAAATGTACCATCCCAACCCACCCAACTCAATCCCCGTGGCTTGATCCTGCAGTCGTGGTGATCAAGCTTTCAGTTAAGAGTTGGATGATAGTGAGCTAGTTAATCCAATTAAAAAGAAAAGAATTGAGATCTGATCTCAAAAGCCCCACAGTTATGGAAGACTGGCCATAGATTACTAATCTTCTAAATGTGGAAAAGATTATTCACTTTTTTGGCTATTTAAGTGTTTATCACTCACTCCGCCTCAGTTATGAGCATACGCCCTAGAGTAAATCTGTTCCCTGGTGGGGAAGTAGAAGGGGCATGTCATTGTACAGTACATCCACATTGATGAAGGGAAAGGAAACATTAAGACAGTTTCAGTGGAAAGGTCACATACCGCTTGTACTAGCTGAAGGAACTCAGACCAAGTAACAGGCAAAGAGACATCATGCTAAAGCAAAACGTTGTTTAAAAAAATTCTGACTTGTATTATGAAATTCAATAGAATCCTACTTATAAAATGGATTTTTTTTTTTTTTTTTTTTGAGATGGAGTCTTGCTCTGTGGCCCAGGCTGGAGTGCAGTGGCACTATCTTGGCTCACTGCAACCTCCACCTCCCAGGTTCAAGCAATTCTCCTGCCTCAGCCTCCTGAGTAGCTGGGACTACAGGCAGATGCCACCACACCTAGTTAATTTTTTTTATTTTTTGTAGACATGGGGTTTCACCATGTTGGCTAGGCTGGTCTCAAACTCCTGGCCTCAAATGATCCACCTGCCTCGGCCTCCCAAAGTGCTGGGATTACATGCATAAGCCATCTCGCCCGGCCATGAAGTGAATTTTAAAATCACTTCAAAGCACATTAGGCTTTCAAAAGATGTTTGTTTAAAGAATACAGTTGGCTTTTGCTCAAAAAATAAAGTTTCGGTAATGCATATTAACAACTGTAGTGTAATTACTGGCCACAAAATACCAGGTGCCAGACCAACCCTTTTCTAACCATTTAAGAGAGCCAAGCCAAGCAAAAATGCCCGGCCTAGCCTTACCCAGAAGTTCAAAAGCTTAGCCTTTGTCACCAGGAAAAAAATTAATTCAAAGAGCAAAGCCATTATTAGGCACAACCAGGTATTCTGTTGTAAACATCTTTTGTTAATACATGTTGAAAGCTGAATTTTCTCACATTTGAATGAAAGAGTCCTGCTTAAAGAGAGTTTAAACCAAGCCAGCTTCAAGGTTCTTTTCTTTTCTTTCTTTTTAGATTTCTGACATCATATCTGTGGGATCCACACAGTGGGGAAGCGCTGGCTTAGAGTCTATGGTTCCCCTAGCTGTTATTTTACTTAAGAATTACAGTGTTCTCTGTTAGCATCAAGGGAATGAACCTGAAGAGAAAAGACCATACACAGCACTGTTACAGGGAAGAAAAATATGAAAAGACCTAAAGATGCACTTCCTCATTACATGTAAGGGATCTATTTTCTAGAATCCTATAAAAAGCTCAAGTGAATTTGCTTCTGTTAATAAATTTGATTTAGTTATGATGATAAGACCACAGCATATGTTTTATGTTGCCTCTTTTTTAACTGCTTCCTGTTAATTACTGAAGGAAGAAATTCCATGTAACTTTGTTGTATTCTGATAATGATGAGTCTATCTGATGTGTTCCCTAAGTGCTTCACAATGTAGGCGTATGTGTGTGTATATAGTTTAGTTGAAGAAGATGGCCATGTGTAGTCACTACAGACAGATGTAAGGCTAAAGAAAGGGCTCCATGGCATTAGAGCAAAACCCCATCATAAAAAGCTCTTTGCTATACTTAGGACCTGATTGTATTGGGAGGAAAAACAAACTCTCAGTCTTGGAATGACCTGAAAAACCTGTGGTATGAACCTGCTTTCCTTTCCTCACCCTGAGATTAGAATGAAGTTCTGCAGTTCAGCTAAGGTGACCAGTTCAGCTTGGTTCATTCATGTTGCATGTCTCAGGAAGACAAGAAGAGTCAGGGCTACCCTAGGTTCGGCTGATGGAGTCTAATGGCCCTGTATGCCTCTTCACCGGTAGGATGGTGGTGGCTGACATCACTGACATGGACTGCGGGGCAGTAACTGTTCTGACCACCTTATGTGTCCTTCTCATTTGGTCTTCAGAGTGTCCTGAAAATGTTGGTGGCTCTCTGTGTTTCACACACGAGGAAACCAAGGAAAAGGGAGAGTAGCTTTTAGGTTGAACCATGTGGAATTCCTATTCGTGTAGATCAAAAAAGGTCAAATATCAGCAAATGCATATTATTCAAACTACGACTTTCCCAATATCACAGAGTTGGTAGGTGGTGACTCTGGAGTTTAAACCCTTAACTACTCAGGATCATAGCTGTATATCTGCATATCTGTATTGACCCAGGCTCAAAGCAAATGCACAAATGCATATTTTATATATATATGTATATCTCCTGGATCATTTTATATGATCCAGATCCACTTTCACAGTATGACCTGAATAAAATCAGCAGTTGAAGCCAGACACTGGAGAAGAAAGGATGTAGTCTACTGATAGCAATTTTTTATATATATATATATATATATATATATATATATATATATATATATAGTGTGTGTGTGTGTATATATACTGATAGACTACTATATATATATATATATATATTGCTTTCAGTAGACTACGTCCTTTCTTCTCCAGTCTCTGGCTTCAACTGCTGATTTTATTCAGGTCATAGTGTAAAAGTTGGCTCAAGTCAGACAAGACTGCCCTGCCTGTGGCCTGTTCCTGCTGTGCAGCTAAAACCAGCCCATCACACTAACTCTCTCAGGCTGGCTGCCTCAAAACCTGCCTGCCTAAAAATATCTTCCTCTCAGATGGCACAGAGCCACACACTCCATCTCCCTAGCTGAACTTCCCACCATTAGAACTCAGCTACCGACATGCCTTCCACCTCAGCTCCCCATATGCCTTCCACCAGAACCATTGTTAAAATTCAACTGTAAAATCTATAATCCTCTCCTGGATAAACTAGTGATTAGTTTATCAGGTAAGAGGAACTCGATCTTGGATCAAGTGAAGTTTGTTTGGGACTTGGGCTGCAGATGGCTAAGATCGGAAGCATCAGAGTGAATCATGAACTATTAGATGTAGCAGTAACATTAAAAGCTATACTGGCCAGTCCTCAAATTTTACAGATGTGGAAACTGATGTTTAGGTACCAAAGCCTAGGTGACTTGACTTTAGGGTGACCAGCCATCCCAGTATGCCTGGGACTGAGGGATTTCCTGACTGTATAACTTTCAGTGTTCAAACCTGGAAAGTCCCAGACAAACTGGAACAGACTGACCACCCTCTTCGACTGGGAGCCCAGAACTCTTCTGCTTATCTGGACAGGTCAGTGTTGAGCAGACCCTTGCAGCAAGGACCCCAGGTCTGCTTGGTACACCTCAAAAGTCCCAGGTGGGGAAATGACCACAAATCTGGTTTTCCAAGGCTGGCTCCCCTTCGGTCTCTAAGCATGGAATTGGATGCCACGTGGGAACAGCCATATTGCCCCATGATTGACCAGTGTTAGCCTCTCCAGCCACAGCATTTAGGGAAGCTGGTTACATAGAGATGGTCTCAGAAAATAAGGCTGTGGTGTGGTTTGTGTACTTCATAGAGATGGGGTCACTGTATCAGCCACAGCTCTGTGGTTCTCAAAGCCTGTGGGTGGAGTGCTGTTGTCTGTCTCCGCTGCACATGGCTGCACAGAGGTTGGGAATGGAGAAGTATTTGGGCAGGGAGATGGATCAGCAGGGTGCCCCGTGCTATCATCATTTCCTTTTTTAGAAGTTTTGTCATTTAGAGGTTTTGAATCTTGCAATAAGCGGTCATCCTTGATTAACTTTGGACTTTTTCCCTTAAATGTCAGGCACCTAATTTTAAACTTTTTTCTGGTTTTACTTCTCCTTCTATGCTATTTTGCCCCCAGTCCTTGGTTGCTTGGCAGTTGTTTCCAATATAGCCCCTCCTGCTTTCCGTTCAGCTGGAATCCAGCTCTAGCTCACACCCTATACCTGGGGCTGATGTGTGTTGACTAAAGAAGGGAAGGAAATCAGGAGGCAAGGAAGGAATAACGCAAGAATCCCAGCCAGGCAAAAAGGCAAGTTCTCTTCAATATTCTCTTTCCAGTATGTATTGCCTTAACATACCCCCAAGCCCACCTCCACTTCCATCTCTACCTCAACACACATATTCAAGAATCTAAACTTTTCATGGTCCACCCTTACTCTCAACCATCACTAAAATGTCCTTAGTGCCCAAATAACAAATTTACTGATCTGATAAACAAATTCCTGATGATGGGGGTTAAAGTTAGAGGTGCAGCCCTCAGAAGTGAATCATAACTTTGACCTTTATAGTCAATATCCTGCCTAGGCTATCTTAACACTTTAATAAATATAGTTCTTACGGAAGAACTGTGGGGCTGGGAAAGCAGGTAGTGGCAGGAAGCATAGTGAAGGATTATTTTGGGAAGAGCTCTGTGATGAGGGTTGCCAAATTTAACAAAGAAAAATACAGGATGCCCAGTTGGATTTGAATTTCACATAAACAACAAATAATTTTTTGGTAAAAGTGTGTTCCATGCAATATTTGGGATATACATATACCAAAAGTTATTCCTTATCTGAAATTCAGATTTAACTGGGCATCCTGTATTTTACCTGGCAACTCTGTGACCTGTGATGGCTCCCAAATATGCAGCCTGTGCAGCAGAGGGGCAGGATTGCTGTGGAGTTTGGAAGTTTCCAAATTCTGGCAGAAGGCAATCAGCCCTTCAGGGAGGGCATCACACAATATAGTCAGGCAAAACTGCTGCCCCCAAAGCCAGGCTTACTGATGCCTGGGGGCATCTAAGGCAGGCCTAAATGGAGCATGCTTGGAGACTAGCCAAGGTGCCAGTAAAATGGGTGTGTTCTGCCAGATCCTTCCAAGAAGATAAAGTGTCTAGTTCTGGTGCTGATGATTGACCTGTCTGATATCCACCACACTAGAACACTATTTTTAGGTGTGAGGAAGGAGTGTCAAGGTTTTAAAAATAAGGTAATAAATATAGGGGAAATTACATTCAAGAAGCTCAATCCTGAAGG